CTTTTTTGCCCACCTCTGCGTTTCTCTTAATCTTGGCTTATGATGAGAAGAAAGTTAACTTATTGCAAAGTCATATACTGAATGTAGTAGCCAAACTTGGATTCTCAGAGGAATATCTAAGAAGATTTGGTTCCTCTGCAGCTAAACATTCAATGAAACAAAGATTGTTGGATGTAAGTGTCCAAATGAATACTAGATTGCTAGGTATTCTGAGAATGACTTCCCTTTATAAGCAGTTTCTCTCCTCCCTGTAATTCTCTTGGTGTATTTTACTGATTGATCAATTTCCGAGTATAAAAAGGCCATTACTTAGGCACATCTGGATACTTTACAATTGGCAGTGTTAAGAGGTCATTATAATGAAACCCCATATAATGAATGAGTCTGCTCTTGCGAGTCACAACCACAGGTCCATTGAGGATTTGGTTCATGTGATTCTTTGGTGCCCATGATTCACAGTAGATCATGAAAGATATCTTAGGAATATTTTATCACAATGCTCAGGGATTGTGGTGATATTACCTGCAAACTGGTGATACTATCTGCAGACAGAGATAAATGGGTAATACTGCAACTGACAAAATTTGTGGCCCTGTTTACCAAGATACAGTCAAAATCCTCTGATGCAGGTTTGGTCGCAAAATAGTTTACTAGCTTTATCCTGGAATACTCATTATAGGAATAGTTAATTGTTAGTTCTGTTTCTTTTAGGTATCAAGGTTATGTTTTAAAAGCTTATAATGTATTTTATCTTCTAATAGATATTTTATAGATTTTACTTTATATTGTGATTTTTTTGTTCTGTTTGCTTTGCTTTTTGTTGTTTTGCTATGGCTTTGAGAATGTAATAAAACAAATTGATTGAAGGCACATGCAGAAGAAAATAAACAGACTCCAGAACTGTGAAAATACAGAAGGGGGGCAGACTGTGGGGAATAACTGTGCCCAACCAATTCCTATGCTTGTGGATCAACCCCCAAGAAAATCAGGAGTAAGTCGAGTGTGTAGAAAAACCTATAGAGTCAAGTTTACAGCAGGAAATTCCAAATGCTGTACTCTGTACAGACAGTGCATACAGTTTACTTGCAATTCTAAAGCCACCTTCTGTGGGTAATTTGCCCAGTGGCAGGAAAGTTACATGTACCCATATGGAATGTGTAAGTTTTCCCCTGAAGGACAAAAGCAGATCCAGGAGGTTATGCATGATTTAAATGGGGAAAGTGGCACAGCAGTTCCAATTCCTCCTCCCCCCCCCACACTGATTTTACATTTTAAAAAACTTGATGATGGTGGTTATGGATCTTCCCCTAGCTAGCACACATATTTTACTTCTCATAAAACTCCTATTTTAAACTATGAAAGGTTTTAAAGATATTTTAAGAGTATAGGTGCTAAAGGTAAATATTTCTAACTTTTAGAACAATATGCCTTTCAAAAACCACAGATTCTAGAAACATTTTCTGTCTAGATAATAGTCTAATTCTGATTAATAACAATGACCTTAATACAAGGACTGGTTTGTTTCTGGATGAAGTGCTTATGCAGAAAACTGAAAGACTACATGAGGAAGCTAGAGAGGATTCTTTGCCTTGCCATTTTGTAATTGGTTCCAGAGGACTGAACCTAAACCAATTTTAACTTTATTCTGCCTGAACAAAATAAATATTCTCTTCTGAAAAGTTCACACACAGAAAGCAGATTTAGAACACCACCATTAGAACACCACCATTAATCTTCCTGAAAATTATGTTTTATTTGCATTAATCCAAATCCCTCTAAATGTTGCTGGTAGGGAGGAATGGAGAGTGTCTAAAAACCTACAAGGGAAGTTTAGCAGCCAAAAGACTGGCCATTTTATATAACAGAAGAAAATCATGTCCACTCTGATTGTTGCTGTGAAGATAAAAATGAAGGACGGAGAAATTTATTTATTTACTTAGTATCCCACCCTACCCCACAAGCAGGCTCTGGGCAGCTCACAACACATGAATATAACAATATAATAAAGGATTAAAATGCAAATCCATACATACATTATGAGATGGTGAAAATAAAGTTAAAGTGCTCTCATAAAGTTTTGACCTTTGTATGTGTGCTCATATATACTGGGTGATTTCCCACAAGCGCTGCTCCGCGCTCACTCTTCTCTTTGGCCCGATGGTACGTGTCAATTTCACACAAGCTGCTGTGCGACCACATTTTGCCTCGCAGCTTTGTGCAATTTTTCCCACATCTACTCAATCTTGTTTTTTGAGGATTGAGTAGACGCGGGGAAGATCGCACAAAGCTGCGAGGCAAAATGCGGTCGTGCAGCAGCTTGTGTGAAATTGACACGTACCATCGGGCCAAAGAGAAGAGTGAGCGCGGAGCAGCGCTTGTGGGAAATCACCCACTGATTTTTAGCAAGTAGTACTCAACTGGAAGCCAATGCAGCTGGTGGAGCACAGGATGTATATGTGCTCATGCCTGAGGTCCCAGTAAGGACATGCACAGCTGCATTTTGAACCAGCTGGAGTTTCTGGATCAGTCTCAAGGATAGCCCTGCATAGAGCAAGTTAAGCAGTCCAGCCTGGAGGTAACCAATGCAATCCACACTGGTTGTCCCAAGCTCCCTGGAGAAAGAGAGGAGTAAAAATATACTGAAATAAACATAAACTTTCCCTATCACTTTGCACATTTCTGACTGGCTTCTACCAGATTTCTCTTTTAGCTGAAAATCACATGTAAGTATTTACAGATGGTCTGAACTCCTGTTTTAAAAGAATTGTATGGCTGTTAAAACCACCAAGCTAGGAGTGCTTCTTTGTTATTGCCCACCTTATGATCTCTCGTGCCCAAATCACTCTTTTGTATAGGCCATTCAACCTCATCTAATAGCTGTATTAGGCCATAGAAGTGGCATAATCCTCAATTAGACTCAGATATTAATTCCACTGATGAATCAGTCCCTCAAGGGAAGGGAGAATACAGTCCCATTGCCCAGTTCCAGAGCGTGTTACAAAGAAAGAATATCATAATGTTATTTCAGAAAGTTTATGCACCACAAAGCATAAACTTAATCTATTTCCAGACATCCAAACATAAATACTAGGAATGACCCTGCTCTTGTTCTGATCACCAGTCGCAAGCAGGAATCCATCTTTTTTACCAAACAGTTCAGCTTTTTATGAGCAGCTCAAGGCTGTTCAGCAGATTATTCAGCAGAATATTGCTAAACCCCAAATCTCAAATGTTTTCCTGATCTGCTCTGTTTCAGATTACTCAAGGCTATTGCCTGAAACTTCAAAGCTAGCTCTTCCTTGCCATGGCTCATGTAGTATTCAGTCACTTCATGTCAAACCTATGCTATCCTCTATTTGATCTCACAGACTCATGTTGCATTTTTAATCTGCATTTAAGCCTTGGAGATCAGCCAAAGGGCAGCTCCTGGCAATCCTCTCCAGAATATGATGATCCTCACAATATACTAGTGCTCCACTACAGCCTGCACTAGCATCCAAGAACTTATGGGCAATAATATTTTAAACTTAAACAAAAGTGCCAAACAATTTGGCCCCAAAATACCTTACGGACTACTAAATTAATAATTCCGTGGTATGGAACATGAACCTCAATATCTTGTAGTATGTTCCTTTAATACAAGCTAAAGCATTACAAACTCTGAATTCTTCTCAAACTCAGATTTTAATTCAAGTTTAAGAACATCCTACCATTCACTTGCCTACTGTTGCACTGTGTGGGGGGGGGGAGAGTTCTGTCTCCTGCCACCTTGCAACTCCTGACTGAAGCGGTGATTTCAGCAGCATTGGCCTTGGCAAGAGGAGAGGACGCCTATATGAATACTGTTACAATTGTGTTAAGGGAAAAGAGAGTCCAGGAAGTAGCCCCCACATGCCTAATTGTCCATAGCAGCATTCAGGTTATACCAGGGGGCAGGCAAGGACAAGAGAGAAAAAGACACAAACCTCCTTCCCTCTCCATCAAGGTCATCTTGGTGGCCTCAGGAAGGAGGGAGGGAAGAGATTTGCCTCCTTGTCTCCATTAGTGAAACAGCGGTCACCAGAGGTAAGAGGCTTTGGGAGCTCATTGGAAGAGACTTGGGTGGTCAGGAAATCATGAGCAATTTTAGAGTTCTCAAAAAAGGATCTCCAATGTTTCCTGTAATTGCCAGGGCTTCGCCAGTTTGAAAGACTGTCCTTCACTGGGTAATGCCTCCTTTTCTATGCCCCATTAGAGTTTCTGGATAACAGAAAAAGCTGTCTTGATCTCTATGTGGCAAGTTAAAACAGGAAAAGAACTTGAAACAAGCACTCTTACATGATTCCCACCAATGAACACTGATCACACAATGACTCTGAAACAACCACCATAGATTAATCAGCATCACCAAACACTCCCGTTACCTTCAACACAATACCTTTCAATAATTTCACAGTCAGCTGTGAGTTATCAAGTGTTGACTGATAAAGTGAAATGCATATGTAAGATCAGCCCTGCCATTTTCCAGCTTTGCAACAGGCTTTCATCAGAGTTCATGAAAGTCTTCTGGAAATGATATAGGTCCTTCAGTTTGAAGAAACATTTAATGGCTAGGAATGAAAGAATATACCTCATTTGGCCTCATTTTTCTTTCCATGCATTTTAAAGTGTATTTTTTCTTTCCCAAAGCTTCATCTATCTGACCTCCCATAAGTCTAAATTCATTAATGCGTTTTAAAGTGTATTTTTTCTTTCCCAATTTATCTGACCTCCCATAAGTCTAAATTCATTGGACATATTTATTCATTTACAGTATCTATAACCCACTGCTCCATGTAAATATCTGCAAGGCTGTTTATATGTGAATATTGTTTAAATACCCAATTAATATATTACCAAGTATCCAAAGCAAAAATGTACAAACTAAACATGAGCTATGAACTTTTGCTAATTTTTATGTTTATTCTCAATCCATGCATAGGAGTGGATCCACACACAGGGGATCAATATTTTACACTTACCTTTCAAAACCAATCTGCCGTAGTGTTTTTTCCCATGTCAAACCTACAAAAAAGAAGGAAACTCATTAAAACTTGTTTTTTCGCCTATCAATCGTTTAATGAGAGGCTATTTAGACCCAGTGAGCATAAAAGTCCAATAAATATGAAAATCAAAGCACTGAAATATCTCATGTAGTTTAGTAATACAACTTCCCCCCATCATGTGTGGTGAGGAGCTCCCATTATGTTAATCTGGTTTTCAGGTGCCTGATCTGAGGAATAGCCATAGCACTAGCTCCTCCTTGCTGATACTGGGTAGTTCATGTTACCTGATGGCACAAGAAGGAGCACAGCAGCAATTCTCATAGTTTTGGGGCAACAGGAGCAGTGGGTTTGCTTGGAAGAGGCTGAAGCCTCAAGTCAGGCTCTTTAGACCCAGCAGGAGGTCTGTTTCAGAAACTCGCTTAGTTGTCAAATAATTCTCATTGGTTTTCTGTGTTTCTTCTTTGTAGTCAGAGTGTTTTAAGTACAGGGTACCTATGCACAGAGTCTGTAGCTCAGTTTAGTAGAAATAATTGCACTGTAACCCTTCTGTCTCATCCCCAAATGATGTACCACTCTGACATTATGGCTGCTGTCATGATCTGGACTGTGCCACCAGAGGCCTACTAGGCCCAAGGAGCCTGGCTAGCAGTAGGTGAGGCTGGGCCTACAACTCCCAGAAGCCCCTGGGAGGTTTTGGAGCCAAAATGGACCAATAGGAAAAGAGGAGGGCTTGGAATAAAAGTTCTGGAGCAGCAGGAAGAGTTGTTTTTTCTTCCAGAGGGTAGAGCCAGAAGAGAGGCTGCTGCAGGGGGGCAGAGCCAGAAGGAAGGCTGCTGTGGGAAGAAACCCTCATCCTGAAGGGAAGGGTGAGTTAGTCTGAGGTCACCTGAGAGAGTGAGCTAGGGACGGTATATATTTAAAAACGTTAGGGCATTTGATTTCTTTTGTTTTCACCCACTTACTGTTATTATTCTGCACCTTGTTGTTTGACCTCCTATAAAATAAACCTTTTTCTTGTTTCACTCTGCCTGGTCCTCACACCTGTTATTCAGCCTAAAGGGAGGACTGAAGGTCTTGGGAGGGTACTCTGGGCCTTCTCAAGGGAACATAAATCCAGAGTGGTGGCAGCGTCAGGTGACACCCCACCTGAGTCGTGACAGCTGCATTCGGTTGTCACAGTATACAGCTGTTTGCTTAAACTACAGTTTGTTGTACACCGGTTAATCTACTAAACATACATAATTGACAATAGCTCTGTGATGCCAAACACTTTAATCTCCCTTCATGGGTTAACATGAATATTAGAAGGCCTAATCCAGCTCACAAGTGTTTGTGCTCTCAATTTCTCTGCAGCTACCATCAGTATCTCTTTCAAGGCCAGACTCGAGAGTGTGATAATTGGTTAATCATGGGAACCTGTTCTCAGTTGTTTAACCAGATGGGAGGGGGAAATTAGCAGCAATTACCAATGTCCTCTGGAAAGTTCCAAAAAGAAAAGGCTTGATTGGACCTGAGAGACCACCTGATGCCATAGGGTAAGAAGCTCTGAGGGTATATGCCATGCTAGTGTGCCTAGATATGTTCTGTTCCATCATGATGGACTGCAACATATAGATAACTTTTATGCTGCTCTGTGGATTTTATGCTGCAAGAGACTGACCATCTAATACTAAGTTAGCTTTGTTTTCTTGTTGCTAAGCCATGAAGACTGTACTGCATAGTCAATTTTTAAATAATTTAATAAACCTAAACAGGTCTGGTTTTCTTGTGTGCATCCAACCTCGAGGACCCACAAGTTTGGTAAGTTGTTCAGGGGTTCCGCACAGGGGACCAGGATCAATAATGTGCGTGGGGGGTTGTTCCTGGCTTGGGTCTGTAACAAGTTCAAAAAATACCAATTAGTCTACTGTCTTATTTTACACCACCACCACGTAAAATGCCTGAATGCTCCCTTGCACTACCAAGCTATTGACTGACTGCAAAAACTGGCAGAGACCTTTTGTTCCGGAGTTAAAATTCAGGGATCTATTGAAACAGCCAGGGAAAGGTGAAGAACCTCTGGTAGCTAAGAGTGAGAAGGCTTGGTTGGTTTGAGGTGTCTTACCTAGTTTTTCAATCTTAGTTTTGCTGCTTCACTAAAGTCCTAATTTAAAAGAACAAAACAAAACTCTGAAACAAAATTAATCTTATACCGGTCCCCCCCTTCTTTCATGCAATTTTACTGCCTTTTGAAGTTCTTCTTACGAGAAGCTGAAGTTCCTGAAGTCCATTCATGCTTGCTGAATCATTTGGGGGGGGGGGGTTCTAAGAAGTAGCAAATTTTTTTGTTGTTCTGTATTTCTGTCTCTGTAGTCAAAAAGCTGAAAGGGGCAGTGCCAGTGAAAAACAAGGATTTCTACACTCTGACATTGCAACAAACCACAGTTAACATGGTGTGTACAAACTATGGTTTATAATTCCATTTTAGTAATGCAAACAAGTCACAGTTTGTGGAGCAGCCTGTGTTCACACTTTAATCACACCATGACTAAACACTATGCGTCACCATGACATCTGAATGTAGCTTGTATATAGAAGCAGCCAAAACAGACCTTGCAACTCCAGTTTTTCCCATTCCATATGCTTCAGTTTCCACTATTAGCAGAGACAGACCCTATTTTTTGTTCCTAATGAAACTAGTTTGTTCATTTATTCAGAAACAGTTATTTTCTTTTTTTTTGATATAGTTAAAATCATACTAGGAAGTCATTGCTGAAACAACAAGGCTCAGAAAGTGCATGTCAGGTTTAATTGGGACCAAAGCGAACATTGCATCACGGGAAAGTATTTTCTGTTTTTTATCTATTTTTCTAGATCTGCAACCTGGAACAGAAGTTTATTAACAGGTAGTTCTAACTGTCTTGTCTTCCAAATTTCATGACAACTTGAGGAACAAATTAATGATGATATAATCACTTCTATGCAGGAGGTATCATATTTATGAAGTAGGAAACTTAAAATCCAGAGTAGCGGGTATGTTGATTATAGCAAAACACCTTAAAGATGTGGTATAAGCTTTTGTAAACCATGAAAACTCATGTTAGTCTTTAAGATGTTACTAATATTACAAATATGCAATCTTCCAACAATTAGAATACCATTCTAGGGGGTTAATATTAGTTATTTGCTTTTATTATTATGTTTATATTCTGTCACATACTGCACTCAAAGAACCTTACTATAATTAAGGACAGTGAGAGTTGATGCAATCACTGGTGGGAAGTTAGACCAGAAATGTAGATATTGGCAACAAATGCAATTAGTACATATCTGTCTGACAGCCTGATGCTTTGGTTACTGTTAAAGCATTTGAATTTACTGGAGAGAATTCATTTGTGTTGGGGAGGTGGGTAAGGGTAACCTTCTTCTTGATGAGACATTCATTGACCCCAACACCTCATTGAAAAGGTAATTTTTCGAAAGTTAGAGAGCTGAACATCCATACAACAAACGATTCTATAACACTCGAGTTTGAATTTGTCTTTAATATGCAATTTAATTGTTAACTTAGAAGTCACTGGCAAATCTTGGGACCACTTTGAGGAATGAGGCACCCTCACCTTTTCCCTCCCACTGTAGTTTCCTGAGATCCTAAAAAGTTGCTCCTGAGTATCATTGGAAACCCCTCTCCTCAGAAGAGTGAAGGGTCAAGGCTGGAGGGAAATTGGTGATAATCAGACACACTTGAGTATCATTGGAAACCCCCCTCCTCAGAAGAGTGAAGTGGAGGGAAATTGGTGATAATCAGACACACAAGCCTTTGCATGAATAAAAGCCACTTCCATTCATGCCATGGCACTGCTGGTCATCTGTATTTCTAAAACAGTGGCTACTAGGCTCAAGGGCAGAAAGATAAAGATGAAGTATAAGTGCAATTTTTAGGAGTGAGAACAAGACAACATTCCATTTATTTATTAAAACATGCTTTATTAATACACTTGGGAACCTCTGCTTTCAAAGCTAGAGTGCATCTGGCAGGTTTATTTCTTTACACAGAAATGGATTTTGCATCAGGAGTTAGAAACTGCAAGAGCCCCAATTCCCTTTCCATAATTCAAACTTTGCAGCTCATAAACTACTGGTAAATTTATAATGGAGGAGTTCACTTTGGAATGTCTACTGCATCCTATACTTCTGGGATGACTTCAGTAGTATTTTTAATAGAAAGCAAAAGGCCTTTGGCCCTACAGAAGCCAGACTCTCTGAGCAGAGAGGCTGTACATTTGAAACCCAGATACAGAAACTCTGAATCAAGGAGCCACAAAAATCACAAGGGTGGCCCACTGTTTTATAAAGAAAAGTTTACCAGATGTGTAAAAAGTATGTTTTCTGCAGCCTAGATCAGAAAATGAGACACATTTTGCTATAGGCCTTTTGGCATCTTCTCATGGTACAATAAGATGGAATCTTCACCGTGGCTGCTGATTTCCAGATCATGGAAGCATATTGAGTAACTGGACAAATAAAAGGCAGTGATGAATACAATCACTTCAGCATAAGCCACCTCTATAAATAAACAGCATGCCAAAGAGATGAGGATACACTGAAGAACAAAAAGGGCAATTTTCTCCCAGTTTCCACTGCTTTCTGCCATAATTGAAACATGCCATCCCTAAATTTTGGCAAATCTACAAACAGAACTACAGGAGCTTCATATCCTCCTTTGACTGTGGTCCAAAGGAGGGACCATTTGGAAGTAATCTCCATTGAAATCATTAAGACTTACTTCCAAATGAATATATTTGTTGAGGTGTCTGTTCTAGTCTTTAAACAGGCTACAAACAATCCAACAGAGGTTATTCAGACTCTGTGGTTTGTATTTCCATCTCTATTACACTTCATTCTATTCACACGTCAATTTAACTGCTCAATACAATTCAAGAGACCTGTACAGAGAAGAATGCTTAAACCCATTGGTTTCAAGGAACTTAAGACTCAATATTGGATTGTGGCCATGAACAACAGAGGTCAACTCTAATT